CAATAGTTCTTTCAAAACAACTAGTGTAATCCCCCTCGGCATCTTTGCAAAAATTACTACTCCCCTTTCTTTTTCAGAACACAATTTGGCCTTTGACCACATCTGTTTCTCCTGAATCACAATTCCTAAGACCCCAATAAGTGTCTCACTGCTTTGCAGTCGGCCTTTCACTGCTTCTTGAATCACAACAACAACATGAGAAACTTACATTTTAATGGCAAGATTTTGCTGATGTATTGAGTATTAACTGGAGAGAGGCGAAAGAAGACTCAGGGAGACTAGTTAGGAGATTATGGAAAAAATCCAGGCAAGAGATGTTGATGATTTGCATCAAGGCAGTAGTGGTAAAGACGGAGAAAAATGATCAAAGTGTGTGTGTGTGTGTGTGTGTGTGTATTCAAGATAGGGTCTTGCTATGTTGTCCAGGCTGGACTCAAACTCCTGGACTCAAGCAACTCTCCCACCTCTGCTTCCTGAGTAGATGGAAGCTGGGACTACAGGCGTGTACCGCCCCACATGGCAGATTCTTTAAATATTTTAAAGAAGGTGCCAATAGCATTTGTTAATAGACTGAACATGAGATGGGAGAGAAATTGAGAAATAAAAGATGATTCCAGGACTTGTGTCTAAGCATCTAGAAGGATCCCATTGAATCAGTTCAGAAAGACTGAAAGTATATTTTGATGGGGAGGATACGGATGATCAGGAATTTAGTCTGGGACATGTTAAATGTAAGATGCTCACTTGCTATCCAATGGACATGCCAGGTAAATAGTCGGCGTCACCTTAAGATTGGAAGATATTACTAAGGGAGAAAGTGCAGACAGAAAAGAGAATAGTTCCAAAGATTGTAGAGGGGGCAGTAAGCATGATTAATAAAGAAGGCTAAGGAATAGTGGCGAGTGAGGTGGAAAGGTAATTGGGAGTGTGTGGTGGTGTCTTGGAGGTCAATGGAAGAAAAGACTTCAAGGAGGAGGCAATGATCAATGCAAATGGCACTGCTACATAAGATGAGAATGAAGAATTGATAATTGGCCGCAGCAACTCAGAGGTCACTGATGACCTTGACAAGAACAATCTGTGTTGACCAGTGAGCGTGAAAGCCTGACTGTAGTGAACTTAAGAGAAATGACTCAACAGATACTTGTATGCATATGTTCACGGCAGCAGTATTCACAATAGCCCCAAAATGGAAACAACCCAAGTGTCCATCAACAAGAAAATGGGGCCGGGCACAGTGGCTCACACCTGTAATCCCAGCACTTTGGGAGGCTGAGGCAGGCGGATCACAAGGTTGAGATCGAGACCATCCTGGCCAGCATGGTGAAACCCCGTCTCTACAAAAATACAAAAATTAGTCCCAGCTACTTGGGAGGCTGAGGCAAGAGAATCGCTTGAACCCAGGGGGCGGAGGTTCCAGTGAGCCGAGATTGTGCCACTGTACTCCGGCCTGGCGACAGAGCAAGACTTTGTCTCAGAAAAAAAAAAAAAAAAAAGAAGGAAAATGGATAAATACAATGTGCTATATGCATACAATGGAATATTATTCGGCCATGAAAAGGAATGAAATTCTGCCTCATATCACCATATAGACAAACCTTTAAAACAGTATGCTGTGGGAAAGAAGCTAGACACAAAAGAATAAATATTGCATGATTCCACTTACAGAGGTACCCCGCACAGTCGAATTCAGAGACTGCAAGTAGAATGGTGCTACTAGGGGCTGGGGGGCAGGGGAGAATGGAAGCTATTGCTGAAGGGGTATGCAGTTTCTGTTTGGAATGATGAAAAATTCTAGAAGTGGACAGTGTTGATGGTTGAACAACATTGTGAAAGCAATTCGTGCCCCTGAATTGTATACTTGAAAACAGTTAAAATGGTAAATTATATTATATATACTTAACCACAATAAATTGGCTGGGCATGGTAGCTCACTCCTGTAATTCCAGCACTTTGCAAGGCCAGGGCAGAAGGATTGCTTGAGTCCAAGAGTTCGAGACCACAATGGGCAGCACAGTGAGACCTCCTGCCCCCGTGGCAAAAAAAACAAAAAACAAAAAACAGAATTGAAAAAGAAAAAAAAATTTTTTTAGTGACTCTCTAACCAAAAAAAACCACAATTGAAAAGAAAAATTGAAAACAACATAGACAAATCTTTCATGAAGTTTTGTTGTAAAGAGCTGGGGGAACAAAGAAATGAGGCACTAGTAGACGAGGGAAATGGGTCAAAAAAGGATTTTGTTTTCAGAAGGGTGAAATTACAAGTTGCTTTATGCCGATTGAAATGATCCAAGAGAAAAGAAAGAAATGATAATGCAGGAGAGGGGAGGGTAGCTCCAACAGTGCCACTGAGGAAGCGAGAGGAGAAGGGGTCCGACACGGAGTGGCAGCGTGGCCTCTGCTAGCAGGACAGAAAGGGGAAGTCTGTGGTAACAAATGCTGGGATATGAGATTCTGCACCATCGTGATGGGGGTAAGGCAGAGTCCATGGCTCCACATGCTGGGGAACAGGGGAAAGGCAGTGGGGATAAAGAGTTTTCAAAATTCTTCTCTGACTGCTTTTCTCTCTGAAATAGGAAGGATATTCATTGTGGTAGACTGAGTAATAGCCCCCCAGTGATATCCATGTCCTAAACCCCGATATCTGTGACTGTGTTACGTTACACGGCCAAAGGGACTTGGCAGATGTGATTAAGGGTAAGGACCACGGGCCAGGCGCGGTGGCTCACACCTGTAATCCCAGCACTTTGGGAGGCTGAGGCGGGTGGATCTTGAGGTCAGGAGTTCAAGATCAGCGTGACCAACATAGTGAAACCCCATCTCTACTAAAAATACAAAAATTAGCCGGGCGTGGTGGCACATGCCTGTAATCCCAGCTACTCAGGGGGCTGTGGCAGGAGAATCACTTGAACCTGGGAGGTAGAGGTTTCAGTGAGACGAGATCACGCCACTGTACTCCAACCTGGGCACCAGAGCGAGACTCCGTTTCAAAAAGAAAAACAAACCAAAAAACAGTAAGGACCATGAGATGGGCAGCTTTTGCTGGATTACCGGGTTGGCCCAATCTAATTACATGAGTCCCTAAAAGTGGAGGAGGAGAATGAAGTACTGAGATATGCTACAGCATGGATGAACCTTGAAAGCATGCCAAGTGAAAAAAGCCAGTGACAAAAGAGCATATGCTGTGTGATTCCATTTATAGGAAAAGGCCAGAAGAGGAAAATCTATAAAGGCAGAAAGCAGATTAGTGATTACCAAGGGTTAGGAATGAGTGACGGGCAAGAATAAAAGATAACTGCTAAAGAGCACAGGGTTTCTTGGGGATAATGAAAATGTTCCAAACTTGGTTCTGGTAATGGATGGACGTACAACTCCACGAATATACTAACAACTATCAAATTGTACACTTTAAATGCATGAATTATATGGTATGCGAATTATATCTTCACTATGGCTATTACTAAAAACAGTGGAAGGAGGCCGGGTGCAGTGGCTCACGCCTGTAATCCCAACACTTTGGGAGGCCGACGTTGTGAGTTCAAGACCAGCCTGGCCAGCATGGTGAAAACCCGTCTCTACAAAAAGTACAAAAAATTAGGTGGGCATTGTGGTGCATGCCTGTAGTCCCAGCTACTTGGGAGGCTGAGGCAGGAGCATTGCTTGAACCTGGCAGGCGGAGGTTGCTGTGAGCTGAGATTGCACCACTGCACTCTAGCCTGGGCAACAAAGTGAGACTCCATCTCAAAAATAATTAATTAATTAATTAACAGTGGAAGAAAGAAGGAGGCAGAAGAACATGGTTGAGAGAAACATGTGACGATGGGGAAAGGGGCAGAGAATTGCCGACTTTCAAGATAGAATAAGGAGACCATGAGCCAAGGAATACAAGTGGCCTCTAGAAAGGAAAAAAGGCAAAAAGGGCTTCTCCGTATGGCTTTCAGAAACAGGCATAGTCCTGCCTATACCTTGATTTTAACCTAGGGAGACTTCTGTCCAACTTCTGACTTCTAGATTGTGAGATAAAAAACGTGTGTTGTTTTAAGCCACCACATTTGTAGGAGTTTTTGTTTTTGTTTTTGTTTTTTTGAGAGTCTCACCCTGTCACCCAGGCTGGAGTGTAATTGTGCAATCTCAGCTCACTGCAATCTCCGCCTCCCAAGTTCAAGCAATTCTCCTGCCTCAGCCTCCCAAGTAGCTGGGACTACAGGTGCCTACCACCATGCCCAACAAAGTTTTTGTATTTTTAATAGAGAATGGGTTTCGCTATGTTGGCCAGGCTGGTCTCAAACTCCTGACCTCAGGTGATCCACCCACCTCACCCTCCCAAAGTGATAGAATTATAGGTGTGAGCCATTGCACCCGGCCTGTAGTAGTTTTTTATGATGGGCATCAACTGAGAGAGAGTGGTAAGGGAAGTATTGGAGGACTGACAGAAGAGATGATAGAAAATAGTCATCTAAGTGCAAAAGAATGAATGAGCCAGAAAAATGTAATACAACTGCCAAACAGAATTAAAAACACATAACAGAATTGAGAACACCTTCTCCCTCATCTAGATGGCTACCATGAGAGTTCCACTTTTTTATTAGAAAATATTAATTATCCCACTGTTGTGCAATTTTTTTGTGACCAAGTGAAGATCATCTATTATAAGTTTGGTGAATGATTAGATCATAATCCTAACCACAAATGATTTCTGCATTGGGTCATTAGCAAACACTGTCCTCAAAAATGAATGCAATGGGCTGTTTCAGTCTTAAGCAAAGCAAAATAAAATAAAATAAAACTCAATCCTTGCAAAATCACCTGTGATTATTGCTCAACCTGTAAGATAAGACCCAGCTCAAACGTATTCACCAACATAGAGTATACTGCTAAAATAGTAGAGTCCCCTTCAGAGGAATCCTCCCCAAGCTCTTTCTTAGTGTATTAGCCAGGGTTCTCCAGAGCAGCAGAACCAATAAGAGATTAAATATATATTTATTTAATAGGAGACATACTGTGGGCATTGTTTCATGTGATTACGGAGGCCAAGAAGTCCCACGATCTGCCATCATCAAGCTGGATCCAGGAGAACCCATGGTGAGTCAGAAGTCAGAAGGCCTGCGAGCCAGGGGAGCTGATGGAAATCCTGGTCTGGGTCCCGAGGCCTGAGAATCAGGAGCACAGCTGTCTGAGGGTAGAAGAAGATGGATGTCCCACCTCAAGCAGAGAGAACAAATTCACCCTTCCTTGACCTTTTTGTTCTACCCAGGTCCTCAATGGATTGAATGACACTCACCCATGTTGGTGAGGGTGATCTCTACCCAATCTACTGATTCAAATGCTAATCTCTTCCAGGAACATCCTCACATCTGGGTGTACCACAGACACACCCAAAAATAATGTGTTACCAGTTATTTGAGTATCCCTTAGCCTAGTCAAGTTGACACATAATATTAATCATTATACTCAAGGATGGCCCTGTTGGATACAAATAAGGAAAACTCTCCTAGCAGAATCCTGGGGCAGCGATACTGAACTTAATCCACGCTTAAGGAAGTAAGTTAACAAACCCGGTGCACATTAAGTTTGCTGGCCCTATGATCTACTTTATTGTCTTCCTCCAGCAAGATGTGCTAGAAGATCTGGGCAAGTGACCTCTGTAGGTTGCTCTTTTTTTTTTTTCTTCTTTTCTAAAGAGTTTTTTTTTTAAATTGTGGATATTCTAGTTGTCTTTCATCATTTAATACTTTTTGTACCCTAGAAATAGAACATACACATATTTAATTCATATGAACTGAAGTGGGCTTGAGAGAGGGAAGTATAAGCATCATTTGACTAAGCAAATTAATGCCCAGAGTAAGCAGAAGACAGAAGACACAAACGTGTCATTCTCTCAGTTGGTCTGTTTCCAGGTGCCTCTTATAGTGTGGGCGTCTAGCAGTCTCAGTCCAAGCCTAGAGGTCCTACATGCAAGCCAATGATTTCCTCTGGGGGTCAACAGAAGGATGAGCCATCTGTTCCAATGCTGCAAGGTAAATTCTCTAGGTTGGACTTACTGAGAGACAGAACATCAGCCTCCAAGGTGGCTCATACATGCAATATATTGTGCCTTATAGGCAATTTAAGAGATCTTCAACGGTAATCTTGACTATACATGATCTTTGATTTGTAATGCACATTTTAAATTTTTAGAGAATTTTCAATTTTACTAATAGAGCAGAAAACAAAAAATAAAAAGGCTAAATGAAACCAAGTATGGAAGCAAATGGCACGTAAAAAGTAAAGTAGAGGTTCCTCTTCAAAGAGACTTTCCTCCCTGTCTAATTAGGAATAAATAGTAACTTCTCTTAGAAGCAAAATTTATTCAAAGACATGTGCTAATATTCTCAGACATCTGCTAGCCATAATAAAGAAATCAAGGTACTTTGTGTTCTTAGCTCCCACAATGTAGCCTAAATATTTGCCCTGGCATGCTTATACTGGTCCAAGCAAGCATTAGGTCATAGCCTGTTCCTCTTCCTTATTTGGAGGTATTTTTACCTTTCTCAGCATCCCACAATTTACTGCCTCCTTCCTTTATTATCCTCTGCCTTTGCCTCTTTTAGAAAGTTCTAAGCTGCTAGCCAATCGGGACAAATAGAGAATGTGGGGTCCCATTCCAGGCAATGGAAACTGTACATGGCAGTAGGGTAGATGTGTCAGGTTATAAATAACCCTGTCGCCTTTGTTCTGTGTACTCTTGTGGCAAAACTGCTGGTGAGTGTGCCCTTTCTGCAGAAAGTAAAAATGGCCTTGCTGAGAAAATTAAATTTATGTTCAAGTGGTATTTATGTGTGGCACTGGGGAACAAGCATTTCTAACAGGCATGTGAGACATGTTAGAACATACATGTTCTAAAGTTGATAGGGAAGGAAGGACAAAGGCATCGCAAATATTCATGATTCACTAAATAGACATGAGAGACATTAAGCCCTTGACATTGTTGAAGCCTTACATCAGCCACTCATAGTTGATATCATTCTAACCCCGCTTGTCCTTTGCCCCCAAAATGCAAATGAAATTGAGACCTACTCATCAGGCTGATTGATGAGATACAGCTACTGTCATGCATACGTGTCCCTGTGTCTTTCCAACAGGCAAGTCCCTGTGTATACCGGTTCCATACACCTTTCATCTGTTGGATCCCTTGCTCAAACATCACCTCTGATCCTCATAACTACACTATCAGAAAGAAAAACTGGCACAGCAAGGGGAAAGACAGGAATATGAACACTGTGTAATCCAGATTCAGGTAGTATGGTCCTTCTACCCTGCTTGCACCTTATCCAAAGGGTGTTAATGTACCTCACTCTTTCCTCTTACTTCTCAGTCAGTGTTTTAAATTTTTTAATAAATTGTGGGATTCTAAATACTTACTTTGGCCCGTGGGTCTTTCCCTGAGATAGCTTTGCCTAAGGCCTAGGAGGCTACCATTGCCCCAAGGTAATTTCTCATACAACAGGAGCTGACCTTAGAACCTTTGCAAAAGATATGATTGTTTTGTTTTGAGGGCTGTTACATTTGTCATTTAGCCCATAGATTGCAAAATTATATACAACTACATCCAGACCTGATCAATTGAGATTCTCGAAATGAAAGATAGATGTAGTAGCTGGTCATGTCTTTTACTTGTTTCTCATTGAGTAGGCAAGGTGTCTATGTGGGAAAACTGCACTATGCTAGACAAGAGAATTTATGAAATTAGACTATGGAAAGAAATATGCATGTGCTCTACTATGAGATTGTCTGCCTGGTATATCTCCTTCTCCTGGAAACAGCCCCATAGCATCCACATATCTGGCATGAAAGTTGCATTTTCTTATAATAGTCCCATTGCCTTGATTTTAGTTGATTGGTTTAGGAATGAGTACTCAAACTAAGCTAAACCAGTAAGTCTCTTTCCTGGGATTTACAAATTTAGAACCCCCCAAAATTGAGGTTAATTCCTCTTCAATATATAGACTTGTATGGTGTATTCCTACAGATTGGAGTATATAGGCATACTTTGTTTCATTGTGCCTCACCTTATTGCACTCTGCAGCTTCTGCATTTTACACAAATTGAAGATATGTATGGCAACCCTGCATCAAACAAGTCTGTTGGAGCCATTTTCCCAACAGCATGCGCTTGCTTTATGTCTCTATCACATTTTGATAATTCTCACAGTATTTCAAACTTTTTCATTAATTATTGCAACTGTTATGGTGATCTGTGATCTGTGAACTTTGATCACTATTGTAATTGTTTAGGGGCACCACAAACCACACCCATATAAGATGGCAAATTTAATAAACATGTGTGTTCCTACTAATCCACTGACCAGTTGTTTCTAGTCTCTCTGCCTCTCCTCAGACCTCTCTATTCCCTGAGACACAACAATATTGGAAATTAGGCCGAATAATAACCCTAGAATGGCCTCCGAGTGATCAAGTGAAAGGAAATGTCACACGTCTCTCACTTTAAAACAAATCTAAAATTGATTAAGCTTAGTGAGGAAGACATATCAAAAGCTGAGATAAGCTGAAAGCTATGCTTCTTGTGACAAAACAGCCTTAGATTGGAAGGAGATACATTTAGGACTTTCATAGCTAGAGAGAAGAAGGCAGTGGCTAGCATCAAAAGACAGGCTGACTCTCTTGTTAGGGGCTAAAGCAGCTGGTGACTTTAAGTGGAAGCCAATGTTCATTTACCATTCTGAAAATCCTAGAGCCCTTAACAATTATGCTCAATCTATTCTGCCTGTGCTCTATAAATGAAACATCACAGCCTAAAGGAGAAAGCACATCTGTTTACAGCATAGTTTACTGAATATTTTAAGTGCACTGTTGAGACCCACTGCTCAGAAAAAATTCCTTTCAAAGTATTACTGCTCTCCAGCAGTGCAACTGGTCACCCAAGAGCTCTGATGAAGATGTACAAGATTAATGTTGTTTCCATGCCTGCTAACACATTGTCTATTCCACTGTCCATGGATTACAGAGTTATTTCTACTTTCAGGTTCTATTTAAGAAATACATTTCAAAAGGCCTTAGCTACCATGTATAGTGAGTCCTCTGATGGATCTGGGCAAAGTGAAAACTTTCTGGAAAGGATTCACCATTCTAGATGTCATTAAAAACATCCATGATTTGTGGGAGGAGGTCAAAATATCAACATTAACAGGACTTTGGAAGAAGTTGATTCCACCCCTCATGACTTTGAAGGGTTCAAGACTCCAGTAGAGGAAGTAACTATAGATGTGCCAGAAATAGCAAGAGAACTAGAATTTGAAGTGGAGAACTAGAATTTGAAGATATGATTGAATTGTTGCAATCTCATAATGAAACTTGAACAATAAGGAGTTGCTTCTGATGGATGGGCAAAGGAAGTGTTTTGTTTTTTGAAACGGGGTCTTGCTCTGTCACCTAGGCTGGAGTGCAGTGGCGCAATCATAGCTCACTGTAACCTCAAACTCCTCGGCTCAAACCATCTTCCTACCTCAGCCTCCCAATTAGCTAGGACTACAGGTGCATGCCACCACATCTGGCTAACTAAAAAAAAATTTTTTTTCATGGAGATAGCATCTCACTATGTTGCCTAGGCTGGTCTTGAACTCCTGGTCTTAAGTGAATCCCTTACCTTGACTTCTCAAAATACTGAGATTATAGGCATATATCACACCCAGCCGAAAATAGTTTCTTGAGATGGAATCTACTCAAGATAAACATAAAGGTGAAGATGCTGGGAACTTTGTTGAAATGACAACAAAGAACTCAGAATATGACATAAAGTTAGTTGATAAAGCAGCAGCAGGGTTTGAGAGGACAGACTCCAATTTTGAAAGACATTCTACTGTGGGTAAAATGCTATCAAACAGCATTGTATGCTACAGAGAAATCTTTTGTGAAATAAAGAGTCAATTGATGCATCAAACTTCACTGTTGTCTCATTTTTTAAGAAATTGCTGTAGCCACCCCAACCTTCAGCAACCATTTTGCTCAGTCAGCAGCCATCAACAGTGAGGCAAGGCCCTCCACCAGCAAAAAGACTATGACTCGCTGAAGGTTCAGATGATCATTAGCACTTTTTAGCAATACAGTATTTTTAATTTTTATTTTTTTAGATATAATGCTCTTGTACACTTAATTGACTATACCAGGGGTGTCCAAT